TTCAACTTGCAAAAAAATACATTAAGTATTAAGCAAAGTTATCATTCTCGAAGGATGAGACATTATTAGACTAATGAAAGAAAGATTCATTGATTTATCCTCAACTTGGATTATTAGCAACGTCATTGCTCGGTGTTAGCAATATGTGAGCGTGCGTATAACTGTAAACATTAAGATAGTTGTTGAATCCAGATGTATATGCTGACGACGATATATTGCTGATCAGAAATTTTAGGGATATGTGATATGTGATATGATATGAGATATGTCTTTTGTGGTTGACTTTTGCTGCGCAAATAGAGTAAATGAAAAGAAGAAGGAAAATATTTGTTCTTCGATGTTCATTTTGGAACAATTCTTTTCGTAGAACAGGATAGGTTACGAAAAAGCATTGGAGGTTAGAACAGGTTACAGGTTACAAGGTCGACTGTTAGGACAAGTTATAGGTTGTGGAATTTTCACAGGACAAGTTACAGGTTCTTCAAAACCCCTAAAAGGCGATAATTGTTATAAATATGCATTCAGAAAAATGTGATACTCAAAGCAATACTTCTACAGATATCAAACAGACAGAATAAACTTAAAGTAAACGTGACATCTTTATTAAATATGTCATGTACACCGACTTTAATCACTTTAACAGGGAGTATTGCTTTCTCGTTATCAAATGGACACTAACACTTTTGATAAAAAAATATGAATATTAAAGCAACAGATACTTTTAACTGAATTATTTACCTTAAGGATAGTGTAATAAATGAACAATTCAATATCTGATGCACATTTTTCAAGATACATATATACGGTATCACAAACGCCATCCGGTAGATTGTTATCATCAAATACAGACGTTGGATCACATTCATATATTAACAAATGATGAATTAAACCACGATTTTTATCATCTATTAACATTTTATGCTAGAAATAAAAGATATCAATAAAAAAGCATCTATTATATTATTTATCTATTTCTACCCACAGCTATAGCATGACGTTTTTCTGCATACGTTGGTATTTTAAATATTTCGCAATAATATGTTGTATTAGTAGGTGGTACTGTATACTAAAAATAGAGAATTTAAATAAATTATGTAAACAGCAAACACTATATTATTTTCTTTTACGTTATTTAAACGAAATCCAAATGTGTCTAGTCCGTTAAATTTTGAATCGTCTGATGGATTTACATAAGATAATAATGATATTAGTTTAGAGCCACTTCATTCATCATGATATTGTATGTCTTCACCATCACGAACATCAATTAAACCATAGGCAAATACCAAAATATTTGTACCCGACTATAATAATGCAAAAAACATTATAGTAATTACAAAAAAACTTTAATCAATTACGTTTATTGGTACGTCCGTTGTATCACATGTATCAAGTTTCTCGTTTAAATTGTATGGCTGTCCAACCATTTTGTTCTGTACAAAGTGAATACTGCTGTGTTTTACTTATTACTCCATCTACGAAGTGGCTCTGTTGTTTGTGCCGATTCACTGTAACCGTTTGAATTTGTTTCTTGAATGTATATTTTGATCATATTATCTATGTGTTTATCATTCCGTTGTACGATTGTCTCAATAGTATCATCTGTTTTAGCAAGGTATAACGGATCATAGTGGTTCCTCTTCTTGTCAGATAATAGATAGGCACATTGAACATTATTCCCGTGTACACTTGTGCCCACTATTTAATTTAGTACATGATATTCGACTTGATTAAGGACAGCAAATGCATTCGATTCAATTACACTTCCATATGTACCTTCTTGTTGAAGATCATGAATATACTGCTCAACATTTTCACTAGAGATATCATGTTGTAGATGCAAATTGTTCTGTATTATTCGTGCTACTCGTTTACGATCCTCTGAGATATAAGAAGAACAGCTTTTGTCGGATTAAGTTGTTTTTTGTTAGAAACTACAGATTTTATGGAACAGCAAAAGAGATGTTCATTTGACAAAAAACTTGTCATTTTTCCTAGACATGTCAGAGCTGCCAACCGTGCATATGTAACTATTAAAATACCCTCAGCAGTCGCTGGGTATTTCGTTTTTACATCTTTCCCTTTTGCTTGGTATTCATCAATGGGACATCCACACATTTTCTTATCTGTGACAGAACTTTTACGAATCCTGCTTTTAGCCTTTTTAACTATTAGTGGCAGTTGCTAAAAGCAGACAACCCGACTCCACAACGCAAAATATATTTTATGAACGATATTTGATTCTTTCCAAACGATTGGAAAACTACAGAATTCAATCAAATTCGCTCAGATGGCAGAATTATCGTCGTTTCTGACTGGTTCGTACTATTTCAGTGAGAAAGTATAACGACATTCACTCATTTTATTCTTCGGAATGGCTATTGACACCCCTGGGGTGGTAGCAAGGAGCTATCGACACCCCAACGAACTGGCAGCAGGCTGACCTCCCACATCCGCCTCTTTTTCCTGTTTTTTTCTATAAACCGTCTTTTTCGGAAAGGGAAATGTATTGGACATCAAACAGACTGCGTTCACTTTTCTTTCCTTTCATCTTATTTTTCTTCCGTCTCATATTTTTTTCTTATGTGCTCGTACACAAAAAACGAGTACTCCTGAGTGCTTCGCTTCTTTTTTGGAATGCTTCGCAGTGCCACTAGTATTAATACTAGTGACTGGTCTTAGTGTTAACTATTTATCTTAAAAATTTTAGCTTAATGCGTTACTGTGAGTATAACCTTATGCTTAACACCGTCTGACTTTCTCACAATAGCTCATAAAAACATGTCCTAAAATTTTTTATAGTGA